CACACAGATAAGAGCTGAGCCACACGACCTCCTCTCCACCATGGCTGGGAAGGGGACAGACTATGCAGACACACACAAGGAAAAGCTTAAACACAACATTCAGACAGAAGAAAGGAAACAAGCACACAAGGGAGAGAGAGAGACGAGGAGGACGAAGATCCAGATCCTAAACATCCTAAATGAGGCACAGAGAGAGAGAGAGAGAGGGAGAGAGGTCCTAGGACGGCTGACGGTCCAGCACAGAGAAGCCTGAATGAAAAGAGAGGACAAGGTGGAGAAAACTAAGGAGAGAGAGAGGCACACAGCTGTGCTTGTGGTACAACAAACAAACAGAGGGTTGGAGAGACGCTGTGGTTTTCAGAGAGGTTATTCTCGTCGGCAGGACAAACATGGTGCTGGACTTCACAGATTCACTGAAGGCCTCTGTGGCTTAAAGTGTCACTAACAAGATCAACAACTGCCAGCCCAAAGCATCACAAAATCCAGTGTGTGTTTCTTATCTTTAGTTAGGCCCATTTTGGCTTTGAAGTATTGTGACGTTACTTTGAGAAGTAGCCAATGGCTGTTTCCACTGTTTACAATATGAATGTAAACTGCTATAAAGGCTTATTTCAGCACAAAGTATACTGTAGCATGTGATGGTATTGAGAGACAAAGAGACCTTTGTGAGTGTCAAACAACTGGTCATTCAATTGTCGTAATTTAATTTCACATTTTGCTATAACAGGACGTCACAATGAAAGAAGCAACGCCGATGGCCGGAACACTGATTCCACCAACGCTAAACAAGAGGCCCGTAAACAACAACAAAGGCCCTAAACAGACAGCTCCCCAAGAGGTAAGAACAGCTGCTTTTAGCCCTGACAGCACCTTAAATACATTATTCTAACAGATACTGAGAAGAAAATGCGGTCAAGGAGCAAATGACCTGCTGAACGTGTGCCGGACTCTCTAATAAAGTTAAACATACAGTGGTTAAAGTAGTGTTTGTGCTGGAAAAGGTACAGAATTTTTGGTGCGGCTATATTATTGAGACTTTCACTTGTTTTGAGATAGATTTTCAATGTGTAAATAATGTTTTAGTGCAACCAGTCTTTTCCCCATTGCAATAGATGGAATGTACACCTGCCAATCAAGACAAATCTCCACCAAAAAAGAAAAAAGCTCCCTCTAAACCATCCACTTTGGAGTCGGCAGATTTGTTTAAGGCTACAACTGAAGGTATGTGCAATGTCCTACTGCCAGTGACAGTATTGGAAAAGTTGTACTGGAAAATTTTAGCCAACAAATAAATATAGCACTGGTAGGCTGTGGCAACATGAGCTCGCAGGAAATGATGAGAATATGAGATAGATAAAATAAAGAGTTTGTCAGCTAATGCTGAGCTCACGCTGCATGATTTTAGCCTTGATTTTCTACTCGCTGACAGTTTTTGGAGATTGCTGATAAACGTCCCCCAGATTGATTAGACGCAAATTGGCGCTCGCTCCCGTGAGGACGTTCGCTATGTGTAAACTGTTAAAAGATGTGATCGGAGGGTTTGCCAAGAGCTCACCGATGCGTTGTGGACGCACGAAAAATACATAGCAGGCGATATCTGGACGTATCAGGGAGCCACACAGCAAGCTACAGTCAGTGAGAGCAGTCTCTCTCCAGCACCAGACAGGAAGCAGTGAACCGAGTAGTTACTTTGGTTGAGGCTTAAAAAAACGCCACAAACACATAACAGGTGGTAAATTAGCAGTGTTGAGTCAGTGTTCAATTAGACGTGTATCTGATCCACCAACCAGCACTTTTACATTTTTTTCTCACAGTTTTAGTGAGAAATGTTCATTATTGAATCGGTCTGCCTCTCATTCCCACACTCTTTTCCCAGTGAAAGAGTGCAGCTAGAAGAGGGGCTGAGCGCGCTGAGCTGACCAAATGTTTACCTTGATGGATTATATTGATTGACACTTAAATGTTTTTATGTACATGTTAGGAATTGTTAATATGTGATGTGTTTTATATTTCTTAAAGAGAGTAGTAGTACTAACAGCAGTATGGCTGCCCTTTGTGTGCATTTTTTAAAAATGACATTCCTAATTAAACATGATGTGCTTGTTATTAATGGTGTTATTAATGACTGCTGATGAAATGTAGTTTGGAGACCAGACAGACTCCTTGTAGTCCGTGACCTCCTGTTGCTGATCAGTCACATGCTGTGCAAACCACAATGACATCAAGACTCCCGATTGCAAGTTATGCAGTGTGACTAAGGCATAAGTTGCTTGAGAGAGGAGTAAAAGAGAAACAGGATATGTCAAAAGTGTCTTGAATTTGCTTGTTTTGTAACCACATTTTAAGAAATGGATAGTGTGATTCCAAACTGTTGCTGCTGATCCCTCCTCTGATTGAAATAGTTCAAATTGCTTGCTTCCAGGCCTCTGACTTGCAGCCACACCTCATTTTTATAAGTGACATATATAAAATACTGTAACACATAATGAATGAATTTGTCATTGAGTGAAAACTCTTAAGCATCCCTCCTGTTTTGCTTTCTTTTCTAGGTGTGAGTAGAGAGGTCAGCATGCTGGCTTCAAAATTTGCCGAAGTGTTAAGGTAGGTCACATTTAAACAACTGCATTAGACAATGTTGTGATTTACTATTGATTATCCATTATGCTTAAAACCTTGAAAAATATATGCTCAAAGAATTAAGAGTTGTGAACTGAACTGACATCTGAAAATGTTGGGAAAAAATGGGAGCTGATGTACTGTGAGTTGAGCTGCTGTCATTGGCTGCACAGTTTTGACTCGTCAGTATACTGTATACTGTTTATATATAAACAGTACACTAAAATATGTTTGTGAAACAATTTTAGCTGAGAAATAGTCAACGCAGGAAGAAAGTCTTGCTCTGTAAACTGCCTAGTTTAACAGTTTGATCTGAGTTCGGTGCGTTGAGCTGGGCCGACTCACTGAGAATGAGCTGTCAATCACAAGGTAGGCCCGCCCTAAAGCATTCCCTACTTCATGGTCTGTTTTACTCTAAATGAGAAGAAGACTGAAACTAGAGATTGAGACCATAAACTCATTAGGAAACTCTTTACTAAGCTCATAAATCAAGTGAGAAGTCGGCTCATTTCTCCATAAGGCTGTATAGTATCGGTTTTTGTTGCAGCCAATGGAGCTCCCCCTGCTGGCCATTACATACCAATTCCACATTGGCTTCATTTCACAGACCCAGAAGTTGTGTCCATTATATATATACTGTCAATAGCTGGCACTGACATTAACATCACTTTCCAAGTTATTATTATTACTCTAAATTAAAATGCATAGCAATATACTATAATCTTCAGAATTTTCTTGGTATCTGTGGTTTGTTCCAGGGAGAGAGCAGCAGCAGATACCTCCCAGATGAAGGAGCTGGAGGGCATTTTGGCAGAAGCTCGAAACCTTGAGTCCTACCTTAAAGAGAAGAAAAACCATCTGAGGCAAACGTTGGCTCTAATTTCTGATAAACTGCTGGGTTAAGTGTACGGAGCGGTTTATTTCACTGAGCTTTGTTTGTGTATTGTACATGTGCTTTCTATAGTCTATATGTTAGTCATATTAACTAATTCTCTGTGACAATGTGACATTGACAAAGTGCTGTTATGGGTTTATTGAGTTAGTAAAGTTTTGAATAGATTATTTATTCTTCATCAGATCCAATCACTTATTATCAGTTACTTTTTTTGATTCTTCATACCAGGCTTTTAATTTGTGAAAAAGAAAGTTAAAGTAAACAAAAGTTCAGTATGCACAAATGTATGTGTGTTTATAAAGAATTTCAAAGGATTCAAAAGATGTTTATGTGTCGTTGTTAAGCTAATATAAAGAGTGACTGAGGGGGATGCCCTTTCCTTAAACACACAAAAATAATAATAATCTTAAAGGCACACTATGCAGTTTTCCAGTTTTGTCAAACAGCTCCCCCTAGAGTCGCTGCAGAGTACTTGTATTTAACGGTAACTGTCGTAAATACCACTCACCAGAGCCGTCTCTATATACGGCTCTGCGTCTCTGCACTCACGGCCTGCGTTTCATTAGTTGTTCAACGCGCCCTCGTTCACTTGCCCTCGGAATCCCCGTCGCCATCATAGGTGTCGTTCCAGTTGTCTGGAAAACTGAAGTGAACTTGGTGAGATGGACCCTCGGAGGGCTGAGGGAGCGAGTGAACAACGATGGTCACTCCGAGGTGGATATCACCCACAATGCATTGCAGTTTACGTCATTGCCGCTATAACGCTGTGTAAGGGCAAGTGCGTTTCATTTAAATCCCCCACTCCTCCCCCGCCCACTTTTATGCTGTTACGTCATACCAAGGGCTGAGGGGAAGTGAACGAGGGGAAGTGGAACTACTAATGAAACGCAGCCACGGCCTGATCCCCTCCCCCCTGTATACCGGTACATGTTCAGTAGGATGGAAGCGTCGGTCATCGAACAGGCAAAGTTAGACTCTGAAGATGTCTACTGACCAGGTAACGTCTGAGTGAATGCCTGCTAGTGTCTTCCATTGAGGCTGCTTCTTATGTCGCTGATGTATGTGACGTCGCGCCTAAAGCAATTTGTGATTCTGGCGAGATTTGGCGGGGCGCCACCTTTCAGACTTGCATTGCTGGTTCTACCAACGGCGTCCCTCTCCTGCTTTGCTATCGGGATGATTCGCTGTACTACGAGTTCATTTACCATCGAAATGACTTAGAAGCTGTTATATTAAGATAAAAATCTTGCATAGTGTGCCTTTAAATTAATAATCTTTGCTATACATTTAGCTTGCGTTTTTAAATGGGATTCAAGCAGTGTTAATACTGGCTGACCAGCAGAGGGTGCCAGTGTGCCACACTCAGGTGCCACAGCCTCATAAATGGACTATATGTATGACTCATAGAATGTACAGTTTTTATGGAATGAAAATACTTTTCTTATGGCTACAATTATTACTGCAAGGAGGAAACGAATGCACATGGACATGATGTTTAAGTCCAGTTTTATTTATTCAGACTATTCACAGTGTTTCATCTGCGTATTTAAAAGTGTACATTTTCATTCACTTAGCTTTCTCCAACATGTGGGCTCCGTGCCAGAGTGTACATTTACTTATCCGTTTATTACAAAATTGGAGGCCATAAAAAGTCTTTGCTGAACTGGAACATTTTCTGTTATGTAAAAAACGTTAGTGCAGTCACAGTGAGAACAACAAGAATGCACTTGTCCTCAGATGCTTCCACCCACCCACAGTCCTTATCTTAAAATGTGAATATACTTGAAATATTGAAAACAATGATTTAGAAAAAACAACCTATTTACAACAGGACATGTTTGTAGTTTCTTAACCCAGTACAGTAGTTCTATATAACAGCTCCACCATGAACTTTAAACCTTTTTTTTTTTTCATTTTTGCTAATACAAGCTTGTATGATGAGACAAACAAAACATCACAGACAATATTTACATAGTGTATAACTTCTGCCACGACTTCCCCCTCACATGTGTTTCTATGCTGTGGCATTGAACGTCCCGTGGAAACCGTAGGGGATGTTGACAGGCACCTCAGCCCTGCCCAGCTCCTCAAACGTTTTGGCATCTAAAACCAGGAGGAACGTACTCTTGTCCTGGAGACAGTGAACACAGAAAAACACGTAAGCTTTCCACAGTTAACTCTAAAGCAGTGTAGTAGCCTATGTGATGTGTAGTATGTGTTACAGTTACAGAAGGAGAAATCGATCGCCTTTATCTGAGGCACAGTTGTCCAAAATCTTTTACTGAACCCGACTGACCTCATTCGGAGTGATGACCACAGACAAGATGACACCATCATCCTCCTCTGTGGCATTAGGGGAGGGTACGAAGATGGGTTCAGAGGGATAAAGACCGGGTTGTTCCCACACCTGTAGGAAAGTACAATTGTCAGTCTGGACCTCTAGTCATTTGGAATAACTGCGGAGGTCGTCTGTGATCTTAATCCAGTGCGAATCTGCCATGTCCGTAATTTGTAAAGTATAATTTCCACCGCAGATTACCTACCGCCAAACACAGAGGTCATGTGATAATATTAGTCCCGTGCGAATCGGCATCTCTGTGATTTGGGCTCTTTTTTTTTTTTTTTTTTATTCTTTTAAGGTTTTTTGTATTTTCCGAGCCTTTTTTCTGCCTTTTTCCCGGTCGAGAATTACGGAGGCTGCGTTGGCAATTCTAAATGAAAGTGTTGACAGCATTCTGATGTTTGTGGGCATGCTGGGAAAACAGCAGACAGACACTGACGTGAGAAAGCTGTTCGAGCCGTTCGGCAGCATAGAGGAGTGCACGGTGCTCCACGGGCCCGACGGTGCCAGCAAAGGTAACGTCAGATCAGTAACGGACTGTTACGCATAGGTTACGCAGAGCCTTGACATCATATCCGGGGGATTAATGTCAGTAAATTCGAGTTAAAACACAGACTTTGCTTATTCCGTGCGAATGCGCCGCACGGAACACAGACGTGCTGGGGTAATAAACACAGACGTGCTGGGGTAATTACTGAATCACATGAGGTCCCCAGGTAATACTAGTCCCGTGCGAATAGGGTTTTAGAGTTCAAGTTTGCTGCAGTTTGATTGTCATCATATTTGCATTTAACAAATCTTAAGCTATGTTGTTTATCATATAAATATACTGCAAATTATATACAAATCATACAATATCTTCAAATATATTTACATAAAAAAAACATTGATTTGGAAGTTAGAATGTATCTCTGTTGCATTTGCTACAATATTACAGCATATCACTCTCTACTACATCTACGACTACATCACTGAAAGAGGTCACTTTTGCCTGGAAACATCCGAGAAGGAGAAATGAAACTCGACTCACCTTCATGTGTTTCCCGTGGAGGTCCATCTTGATCAGTGTGTCTCCTACAAGATGTCTGAAGCCGCAGCCATAGAAGTAGCGGTAGGTGTGGGTGTTGTACTTGTTGTAGTTGATCTGAGGGAACTCCAGTCCTCCATATTGATGAAGATCCTCCCCATGGAGGTCCTCATGGGTACAGAAGACCTGCACGGAGGAAAAAAAGCAACCCGGGTAATGAGACTCAGGGAACATTGGCTGTTACAGTGCTATAGTTCATTTCCAAAGTTAACTGGTAAAGTAAGAAATAGGTTTCCTGTCAATGGGTATTAACAGTTGGGATGTTTTACAGAACATTATGAGAACAAAGAAAGATTCAGTGCTTGGAAAAAATAACATGTATTTAAAATAAATGCAGTTAGAATATGAGGCAATGGGGAAAACATGCACCATATGTACAGTGATGTACACAAGGCTGATCGGTCATAACTCTATATGTTAGCAAGATAGTGTGCAATCACACACCTGTCAAAGACAGCCATTAGGAAGTTGTGAATCTCTTGTAAATCATGTCAGCTTACCTTGTTCTTGGCAATTCTTATAGAAGTAGCTTCGCTGTTGGGCTGGTTGTTCAGGTTCTGGCCGTAGGGTGTACCATCATCCACATTGAGAGGCAAAATGAAACGCCGTGGGAAGACTCTACACAAGGTGTTATACACCTGATGGGAAAATATTAACATCTTTTCAGCCTCAAAAAAACGAGCTACTTTACAGTTAAAGTGAAAGCAACTTAAGCACTCCACTATGTTTGGACAAGTGGAGGAAGCGAGGAACGTACAATTCTTTGAGTAGTGACCTTTTTTTAACCCGCTTACCTCATCAAGAGCTTCTCCGGACTTGCGCAGGTTCTGGACGTTGTAGTTAGTGATTGCCTGGCCATCATCTGAAGCACACATATCTATGATCAAGGAGCCGTCCTCCTCATATGCATTGATCTGGTGGAAGGTTGACAGCGGCTTGGCAAAGTACTTAGTAGAGCTTAACTGAAAAGCAGGAATGAATAGAAGAATGAAGGCAACCGCTATTTGTTTAATATACAGTCCAAGCATAATGAATTGGCTGCATTTTAGAAAACTCAAGGGCTGTGTTTGAGCCTTACCTGCCCTGTCTGCTTGTGAATCAGGTGGAAGATAGTGTTGAGTTTTGGGTCCCAGTGAATGCCATTACTGATGCTTTTCCCTGTCAACTTGCCGGTCACAATCTTCAACAGATCCATCTTGATGGGCTGCTCAATGAACACCACGTAGTTCTCAGACATTGCTATAATGGATTGAGATTATATTAGTTTCTACTTCAAATTCTGAAAGTTGAGTTGTAGTTGGCATTGTGTTCATTTTCATAAGGAAACTAGAGATGCCCTAATGCAGCCTTTTCTTTTTGGATACCAATTCTGATACCTCAACTTGGGGTATTGGTCAGTACCCAGTCCCAATCCAATACCAGTGCCCTCTTCTTTCTAAATTCAAAATCTGTGTATCTGAAACAATTTGTTGATTTCTCACATTCTAGTTTGTCAAATGGGAGGATTTTCTTCTTCTCTTTTTCATATACTGTATCATAAACTGGATACCTTTGGGTTTGGGACTTTTGGTCAGACAAAACAGGATTTCAAGCTGTCAGCTTGGGCTCTAGGGATTTTAGGGATAATCTAGGGATAATTAACTGAATAAATAAAGGAAGGAAAGGAAAATTATCATTAGTGAAGCCCTAGATCACATAATATTTGATTAAGACTGGCTTTTATCACATTGGCGAAGAAACAGAATTTAATGTGGATCGGTCGCGTCTGGTCAATACCATGTTCACTTAATAAGGTCAGTATGTGTGCTTATACCGAGCCAGAGTATCTGATCAGTGCATCCTTACAGGAAATCTTCATAGACATCGGGGTAGAAAGTACATTAAGATAGAATCTAACTCCTTTAAATGGATCCATAGTCATGGCTTTGATTTGAGAACTTCTGCTCACCAAAGCTGTGGTAGTAGGATGGTTTGGTCTTGTCCACTGAAGGAATAGAGCACAGCACTGTGGCTCCCTCCAAGGTATCTTCAGGGGTTTCCTTGGTCGGCGGCACTCGGATGATGTTATAGGATGCTCCTGTCAGCACAGATACAATTAGTGTCTCAGTAAAGGTCATCAGACACGTGGGCAGCAGGGTTGTTTTTCTGTACACTTGTCACTTAATACACAGACATGCTGATTGGATGTTACTAAAATACCTTTAGCGGTGTAGGAATTCCCCATATTGTATGTTGTTCCATCGGGATCAGTGTGAGGGTGTGCGGTCGCTCCATTCACGGCAATGAATTTGCTCCAGTCCACCTAGTATACAAATGCATGAGTGCAAAGACTTTGTTAACACTATATTTTTGGATTTTATCCAGCCGTCAACCATAGAATGAGGAGACGCAGTAGCCTGCAAGCCTGCTATAAAGTCATAATAATATTGTATTAGTTTATGACTTGCTTTTACTGTCATGTTTAAAGCACTGGGTCAATAAAATGAACTGCTGTGCGCAGATACTGTATGCCTCCTCAGAATGATCAACAATGACCACATTCAACATTATGTTACCTTTTTAGTTGTCTCTAGTGTCTCAGGGTCCACTTTGTGCATGACATTTGTTTCCGTGCTGACGTAGTAATCACCTTTGTAGGTCACAAAGCTCACATTGGCATTATCTGTGGGCTCTAGAGGGGAGGAATAAGGGGCCTAAGTTAACGACACAGAACAGGACAACCACAACTTTGTGTTCACTTATATTCAATATTTCACATATCTGTAGGTATGTGGAAGTGACCTTAACTGTTTAAGGAAGTTTACATTCAGATTACAGTTCATTCACTGTAGTAAAAGAGTCTGGTTCCTGTTCATGCGGTTTGATAAAATACTCACTTGGTAATTCAAATCTTGACAGGAAGCGCTGGAAGAAGTTTTTACAGGGGTCTGGCATTGTGATAGTGCCAAACTCTGACACTGCGATGCGGTTGTGCTCCTTGTTGGCTTGGTAACTGTCACTGGACAGGAAGCGGCTCTTGTAAGTCACCTGACCGTTGGATATTTTGAACTGGTGCAGGAGAGCCATACCATCGAACCAGTGGTTGAACCTGATAAGAATGGAGGGTGCAGGGGAAAGGAGTCAGCCTTGTGATGTAGCGGCTGCAGTAGATGCATTAACACTTTAACTTCTACTCACTTCTGGTTTCCAATCTCAAACTTCCCAGGCCCGTTTCTCAAGAAGCTGCCATTGATCCATTCTGGGATTTTGCCAGTTATGTTGGTGCAGATGGGCTCGGGGGTGTCCTCCACGGAGCTTACAATCTTCTCAATGCAAGGCAGACCGTGCACATCTGTGAAGTGGTTGATGTTCTTCATAGACTTGGATTTTTTCAGCTCTATGCAAAAAATGGCAAACAAGAGACATTATAATCAATTCAGAAAATAATTGATGTGAAGGTAATTTGTGCATTGCTGCTAGAATCGAATGCTTACCTGAGGCATCTTTCTGCTGATGTGTGATGGTGTCCATGGCTGAAGATTTGTCTCTCGAGTATGTACGCTCCTCCTGTGGTGCTGCTGTTTCTCCAAGACTGGTACTCAGCTTTATATCGTCCTTCTGGCTGTGACGCCCCCTAGAAACAGTCAGATAAGTATGCAAGCAGACATTGATTTCATGCTTGTGTAAGCCTCTACAAAACAGAAGTACTTTGTGATCTCAAGATAATACAAGTGGTAACTTATTCACAGAGATAATCACTTGATCTTACTGACAAGTGGCAAAAATCTTTATAGAAGCCTGTTTTTGGTAACATTGCAATGTTATTGCAATCTCCTATTTCTGGAAATATTATAGAATTTGGGAACTTCCTCTCGTTGGCTGGGATTTTCCATTTGGGTTCATGTGGAGCACTAATGGAGTGTCTGATATCGGCTTATCACACTGTACATTTCCCCAATGTATATCACCCATAAAGATGTGTACTAACCATTTTATGGTTTCCACGGGTACACTGAAAGGTGAATCAGTTAAGTGACAGGACAAGGAATGCAGGGTTGATCAGGGTTTCTTCACAAAGGTTGTAGATGTGTAGGTCGGGTGGACTGAATAATCTAAATTGCCAATATACAATAGATAGTAATTAGTCAGCCATGGAGTGAGGACCTTATGGACTGGTTTACTGATATTTTGTTTTTGTTTTTTTCAACTTTTATAGAACAATAAGTAAAACAGGCCTGAAATATATGATTGTTTCTTAATATTTAATTAAGGCCTCTTATCAATGCTCCTATTGTTGGATTTATTAAAGGTGTAGGATTCATTCTACTAATGTATCTTAACTGAAAAGAACAGAACAAATTCCAGGCTTGGGGGGACATGCATTCTTTTCACTATGTCTGGTCTAAAAGCATACTTAAAGAGCTTTATTAGCTATCATTTTGCAGTACCTATATCAACAGCCATTGTTCAACGTGTAGTAGGCCTATGGGTGAATCAAAGGGCACGTCTTTCCTCCACGGGGCAGGAGTGGAAATAACTTAAATTCTATCTTATACTCATTCTTGTTCACCTCTATTGTATAGAAACAGTATATCCATTTAAAACGAACAAAAACAGTGAATAATGGGGGACCAAAACACATCGTATAGAGTCCAGCCCTGGTTGTGTAAAGTCAGACCCATGGAGGTAATGTAAAGGAGGGCCTCAGCATTCATTTTTCAGTGCCAAACTTTAGTGTAAAAACACATCAGTTCAGTATATATTACTGCTACATAAGCATAGATTCTGTTAATGTCAATACGTACATTTTCACTATAAATGTAATTGTGCAAATAAATGATATTGTTGCTAAAAAGTTTGATATTTTAACAATTAAAAACACTCAAACATTTTTGTCAGAGAAATAGATAAGAAGATTGATACCACATCAGCTTAGTTAGCTTAGCTTATTTCAAAGTCAGAATAAGGATCATCAGTGTAACTTCCACCATTCAGTAGGCCCTAATTTAAATCATTTTTTCAATTCAGTTCAATTCAGGTTTATTTGTATAGCGCCAATTCATAACAGAAGTTATCTCAGGACACTTTTCAAATAATCAGGTCTAGACCAAACTCCTTATAACATTAATTACAGAGACCCAACAGTACCACCATGAGCAAGCACTTGGCGACGGGGGTAAGGAAAAACTGCCTGTTAAAAGGCAGAAACCTAGGACAGACCCTTCGGCTCTAGGTGGGTGGTTGCCTGCCTGAACCAGTTGGGGTGAGAGAGAGAGAGAGAGAGAGAGAGAGAGAGAGAGAGACACACACACACACAGAGAGACAGAGACAGACAGAGACAAAGAGAGAGAGACAGAAAAAGACAGAAAGAGACATAGAGACAGAGAGAGAACAGAGGTAACGACAGAAGAACAGAGACAGAGGCAAAGGTGCACAGCAACAACAGTAGCAACAACTACACTAATAGTAGTGACTCATGGTGATGAACACGAAGAAGATGATGACGACGATGACGACAACAACGATGGGGGACAATGAGCAGTGATTATAGAGATAATAGTATCTGTAGTAATAACAATAGTAATAATAATAATAATAATAATAATAACAATAATATATATAACAAGTAATATCCCCCGATAGTCTAGGCCTATAGCAGCATAACTAAGGGATGGTTCAGGACTCACCTGAGCCAGCCCTAACTATAAGCTTTATCAAAGAGGAACGTCTTAAGCCTACTCTTGAATGTGTAGGCTTCCAAAACTCCAAACTGGAAGCTGGTTCCACAGTAGAGGAGCTTGGTAGCTGAAGGCTCTGGCTCTGTAGGATGAGGTGAGAGACACCAGATAGACCTCTGTGACCCGGCCCAGTTTCAGATCCTCTAACAGCACTTTTGTCTAGAACATAAATAATGAAATCATTCTAGCTACTTGTGCAGCTATTGTGTGACTCATTTAGGAAATTCCCACAAAAACAACTCGTACCCTGCAGCAATCCCCTCATTGAGTGTAGACTCAGCACAAAAACCGAAGCATAACTAAGCCCTTTAAAGAGTTTCCAGTGTCAAAGCTGTGGTGTGTCAATACTGGAAATTCACCCCAATAAACTAGATGCATTTGCTTCTGTTTGCACAATAAGAATGAGGAAATGTGAAACAGAGGTATCAGCTACTATCCCTGGAAACAAAAAAACTACTGTGTCAGGGAAAACTCAAAACATATGTATTTACTGTCTTAGTATTAAAGCAGCTTTATTTTTTGGTGCATTGACTTTTCTATGATTTGACCATCTCAGAATCAGGAGAATACAAGAAAGAAGGAACTAGTGTTTCCAAGTTCTCCACTACATTGCAGCAACTGTAAGCTATTTCTCCCCTTATTTGATATGTTTTCAGATATAACACAACTTGGAACAAAGCGTAGCTTGTATCTGTTGCTTTGAGCTGCAGATTGACAGCTAATGGAAATATCCAGCGATAATATAGCTGAAACCACAGGGATCCATACAGAAGATCTTTCGAAATTTCTTAAAAGAAACTTAAAGGAATAATTAACCATTTTGGGAACAGTTTGCTTGATGTCTGTGCATTACTTGCATTACCGGCTCTCTCAAATACTGACTGCAACTCCGACCCGTACACAAATTGTTGGGTTTATGGGAGTTAGACAGAGCTCGACTACACGAGTGACAAAATACTATATGTTATTTGGCCAACATTAGCTTGCAAAGTTACTTCATGAGTTAATGTGATACATAATAACGTTACTTAACTTAATCGGAAGGTTGTTGGTTCGATCCCCGGCTCCTCCCGCCACATGTCGAAGTATCTTTGAGCACTATACTGAACCCCAAATTGCTCCCGATGCTGTGCATTGGTGTGTGAATGTGTATGAGTGAGTTAGTTTGTGTTTGATAGACTTTGCCATCACTGAGTGAATGTGTGTGAAAGGGTGAATGTGGCACGTAGTGTAAAAGCGCTTTGAGTGGTCGGAAGACTAGAAAGGCGCTATACAAGTACAGGTCCATTTACCGTCCATTTACCACATGGCCCGTGTACGGAGTGAAAGTATGATCAACAGTATAATCACTGTAGTTCACTTAACTGCTACTGGGGTCACTATTAACAACGATTTTCTGAAAGTTACTTAAAGAATCTTTAATGAGACTAGGATTGCTAATTGTCAGAATGAAAGCTTTTGAGTGAATTTCCCAAAATGTTGAACAGTTTCTTTAAAATTTAAAATTGGGCAATACCAACCAATATTATAGTGAAGGCATGTATGTATTAATGTGATGAAGACTATTATCATTATTATTAGATTAAATTATTTTTGAAAAATCAATATACTGTGCTTCATAGGCAGTTGATTCATCATTTTATGTAAACTATTTTGTTCTTGGCACAGATGAGGGAAGCAGAAAACAGAGGGAAAGGCCCATCCAGTCTTGCCCCAGTACACTGGATCCCAGAAATAGCTGCTCTGTGGTAAGATGCGCTCTGGGCAATGTGCTTCACAAAGGTCCACTCACACAGACATCAAGGGCTAACTTGGTTCACAAGGCCACTTTGGAACCCAGGATTTTTTAAAGGGATAAACTACAAACAATCCACATAAGGTCGTCCTTACTACTAAAAGTTAATATCTTTAACACTATGTAGTATTTTTCATTTGCTTTAATTAGTGTGTTGCATGGGGTATTAGGTGTGGTGTCACTATGTGTTACATTATCTTGTGACAGACCTCTGTACAGTCCATGCATCTCTAGGTTACAAAGGCTTCCTTCCAACTCTCAATAGGTAATATACACTGTCATTAGTGTTTGGGCTACAAAAGGGTGTGACTAACAGTGACTAAAGAGGTAGCCTCTGTGAGAAAGCCTTTCACATTCTTCTTGTGTCAACAATGTGTGTTAATATACCATAGTTATGGTGAAAGTCAATAGTAATGCCTTCAGGGTGTCTGCTATATTCTGAATTATATATATCTGTATCTGTATACATATCTGAATTTCAGGCCTTAAATGATCTTAAATATGATTTTTACATCACTCGCATCACATGTATGAAGTTGCATTCTTAGTCTCGCTTTTAAATGTGTCTTTGGGAAACACTTGTATTGATCATGTTAACAACTACAAAATGAATCTGGCATGGAGCCAACACCGATCGATATCCTTCATACTTTTTCGGCAGTATAGACTTCAAAAGTCTGTGCCTTTGTTCCAGCTGCAATCAATATATAAAAGGACAGGCTCCTATTTTTCAAGTCTGACCTCTTCAGCCTACATATGGGTAGCCTAGTGTAGACATCGAATGACCTGACCCTATCCTTTAAACAGTTACTGATGTTGATGATGTGCAGCTCCCTGTACTATTTGTATGAACTGCTGTTCTTTGTGTATCTGTTTTTTACCCTTGACTAAGTGAACTTCTGTTTTGGATAATAAAGTTAAGAATGAAGATGGAAAAAATGAACAAGACTCCTTTGTACTGATATATTTTTGAGCTTGTCTACATACTGAGTAAATACAGACTCTCAAGTCTTGAACATGCTTCAGGGCTTTTGGGCCTGCAGAGTCTGCTGAATTCAAGTACTGAATGATATTTGG